TGACGACGACGACGAGTTTCTGTTCCCTAACTTGTGGGGGCTCCCGGAGGAGTCCTCACTGGAGGAGGATTTGGCACGGAGAGTAAAGGACTGGTACAGTCATAGACCTCCAGCGCCGGTTCCCAGTCTGGTAAGACCCGTGCCTGCTCCTCGCACCAAGCCTGTGGTTCGTATCCCCAGTCCGGCCCGGCCCGTTCCTGCTCCTCGCACCAAACCGGTGGTGCATGTTCCCAGTCCGGTACGGCCCGTGCCTGCTCCCCGCACCAAGCCAGTGGTGCGTGTCGCCAGTCCGGCCCGGCCCGTTCCTGCTCCACGCACCAAGACAGTGGTGCGTGTTCCCAGTCCAGCATGGCCCGTTCCTGCTCCTCGCACCAAACCGGTGGTGCATGTTCCCAGTCCGGTACGGCCCGTGCCTGCTCCCCGCACCAAGCCAGTGGTGCGTGTCGCCAGTCCGGCCCGGCCCGTTCCTGCTCCTCGCACCAAGCCAGTGGTGCGTGTTCCCAGTCCAGCATGGCCCGTTCCTGCTCCTAGCACCAGACCAGTGGTGTGTGTTTCCAGTCCGGCACGGCCCGTGCCCTTTCCACCCGTTCAGCTGCTCAACTCCGGAGCCAGAGCAGTCCGCTCCACCGGTTCCCAGTCCAGCTCCGGTCAACGGTTCTACTCCGGAGCCAGAGCAGTCCGCTCCACCGGTGACTGATCCAGCTCTGGCGGTTGCTCCACTCTGGAGCCTGAGCAGTCCGCTCCACCGGTGCCTAGTCCAGCTCCGGTCAGCAGCTCCACTCCGGAACCAGAGTAGTCCGCTCCACCGGTGCCTGATCCAGCTCTGGTCGGTTGCTCCACTCCGGAGCCAGAGCAGTCCGCTCCACCGGTGCCCAGTCCAGCTCCGGTCAGCAGATCCACTCCGGAGCCAGAGCAGTCCGCTCCACCGGTGCGCAGTCCAGCTCCGGTCAGCGGCTCCACTCCGGAGCCAGAGCAGTCCGCTCCACCGGTGTCCAGTTCAGCTCCGGTCAGCGGCTCCACTCCGGGTCCAGACGTCAGCCCCTCTCTAGGTTCAGAGTCTCCCACACCAGGGTCCAGACAGGGATCGGTGCATCGTGGGAGGACTGAGAGGGAAAGCTCCGCGTTGAGGTCCAGACTGGTCCAGGGGTGCAACGCGGAGTCAGTAAGGGAGGAGACGTCACGCCCGGAGCCGAAGCCACCACCGAGGCTGGAAGCCCACCCGGACCCTCCCCTGTTAAGAAGGTAGAAGGATTACTGTTATTGGTGCATCGTGTTAGACTATTCCAGGTATTCCTTAAAGAGGTAGGGTTTCAAGTGTCTCCGGAAGGTGGTCAGTGACTCCGCTGTCCTGGCGTCGTGGGGTGAGCTTGTTCCACCATTGGGGTCCCAGAGCAGCGAATAGCTTTGACTGGGCTGAGCGGGAACTGTGCTTCTGTAGAGGTAGGGGGGATAGCAGGCCAGAGGTGGATGAACGTAGTGCCCTCGTTTGGGTGTAGGGTCTGATCAGAGCCTGAAGGTAAGGAGGTGCCGTTCCCCTCACAGCTCTGTAGGCAAGCATCATGGTTTTGTAGTAGATGCAAACTTCAACTGGAAGCCAGTGGAGTGTGCGGAGGAGCGGGGTGACATGAGAGAACTTGGGAAGGTTGAACACCAGACGGGCTGCAGCGTTCTGGATAAGTTGTAGGGGTTTAATGGCACAGGCAGGGAGCCCAGCGAACAGCGAGTTGCAGTAATCCAGACGGGAGATGACAAGTGCCTGGATTAGGACCTGTGCCGCTTTCTGTGTAAGGTAGGGTCGTACTCTGCAAATGTTGTAGAGCATGAACCTGCAGGATCGGGTCACCGCTTTGATGTTAGCGGAGAACGACAGGGTGTTGTCTAGGGTCACGCCGATGTTCTTTGCACTCTGGGAGGAGGACACAATGGAGTTGTCAACCGTGATGGCGAGATCATGGAGTGGGCAGTCCTTCCCCAGGAGGAAGAGCAGCTCCGTCTTGCCGAGGTTCAGCTTGAGGTGGTGTTTCGACATCCACACGGATATGTCTGCCAGACATTTAGAGATGCGATTTGCCACCTGCTTATCAGAAGGGGGAAAGGAGAAAATTAATTGTGTGTCGTCTGCATAGCAATGATAGGAGAGACCATGTGAGGATATGACAAAGCCAAGTGACTTGGTGTATAGAGAGAATAGGAGAGGGCCTAGAACTGAGACCTGGGGGACACCAGTGGTGAGAGCACAGATTCTCGCCACGCCACCTGGTAGGAGCGACCTGTCAGGTAGGACGCAATCCAAGAGTGAGCAGCGCCGGAGATGCCCAACTCGGAGAGGGTGGAGCGGAGGATCTGATGGTTCACAGTATCAAAGGCAGCAGATAGGTCTAGAAGGATAAGAGCAGAGGAGAGAGAGTCAGCTTTAGCAGTGCGGAGAGCCTCCGTGACACAGAGAAGAGCTGTCTCTTGAAACCTGACTGGTTTGGATCAAGAAGAGATAGCAGGAGAGTTGGCTAGAGACGGCACGCTCAAGAGTTTTGGAGAGAAAAGAAAGAAGGGAGACTGGTCTGTAGTTGTTGACATCGGAGGGATCGAGTGTAGTTTTTTGAGGAGGGGTGCAACTCTCGCTCTCTTGAAGAAGGAAGGGACATAGCCAGTGGTCAAGGATGAGTTGATGAGCGAGGTGAGGTAAGGGAGAAGGTCCAGACGAGACTCCGCTTATAGCCATGTGTGGCAGTGGTAAGATGTTGGGACTGCTGTTGGGACTCTGCTGTTGGGACAGCTTTTTGTAGGCCCTAACAGTTTGTGGGCACCGTTTGTCACCGTTATAGTGCAATTAATGGTTTGTTTAGTGTTGTGTTGTGTAGTGGCTTTGCTGAGATGCATCCCACATTATTACTTTTTTTGCCCCACCAAGATTTACATGCTAAAAAAATCGCCAATGCCTGCTTATACCCTCCACTAGACCACTGGCCCTTTGCATTTACAAAAAGTGCACTCTCCTACGTGAGTGCTCTGGTATTACGGTTGCTGTCCTTTCAGAATCACGAACCTGTCACACACTGAAGGCCTATAGGTTTGACCCTGCGCAAACATGTCTATAATAGATCATGTTGTTAAGATATTAATATTTCAAGAAAGGAGTGTATATATTTGGCCTGGCGAAGCGGTTTTATGTCTGGTCTCGGGAAGAAATTACAAGTCCTCACTGTCCAAGACTGAGTCAAGACCGAGTACAAATGTATCCAATACCGAGACAAGACTGAGACACTCAATATGTGGTCTCGAGATCGGACTCATACTACAACACTGCCTAACAATGCACTTTGACTGCTCTACGAGTGGTCTGGATCACTCGGAAATGTGCAAAGTTTTTTAAGAGTCACTTTACTAACGAAGGCTCTGCGAAACACCTCAGCCTACTAAATATCCATCATAAGATGGTTCTAATGATCATCTTAACACTACGAAGGCTCTGGAAAATGAGGCCCAGTGCCCAGTTTACCAAAAGTATCTTAACGCTAAGTTCATCATTAGAACCATAAGAATCCTTGATTTGGGGAAATCGGGCCCTGGTCTTTATGCATGGTTGCGCATTGGAGAGTTTCAAATGATGTTTCATGTTCTATAGGTCCGTGGACAAAGATCTGTTTTTATATCATACCTTATTATTGATGTAGTTTATAGTCTCATCACAAATGGCCAGATCCTGACGTAGGCAAAACTAGAAACTGTTCTCCATGGGTCATGACCACTGTGGCCTCCTGTAGCTCAGTTGGTAGAGCATGGCGCTTGCAACGCCGGGGTTGTGGGTTCGATTCCCACGGGAGACCAGTATGAAAAATGTATGCACTCACCTAACTGTAAGTTGCTCTGGATGAGAGCGTCTGCTAAATGACTAAAATGTAAATGTCATGATGGGTGAATTTCATCTGGCTGCTTATGTTGTCTAAACTTGTAGGAACTGAAGCTTGTGGTGATCGGTGGCATGTTATTGAACCTATCCACTATTATGTAGGCTACAGGTTAGGTTGTAAAGGTGGTGGAAGTGACTGTCTAGCATCAAATCATTGGAATGAGAAAAATAAAAATCTATAACGTTTATCTATTTATTCGATTACATATAAAGATCAAAACCATGATGAAATATCTATTTATAATTGTCTGTGCTGTCAGAAAGTCACATCTATTAATTGGCCAAAACGTATGGCGCACGGGTTGAACCAGAACCGATCATTAAAAACACAACGTTTGAATAATCAAATCATTATTCAGTTTCTCGTTAATGAATATTTTCTTAAGACAATAAAAACAAAAAACAAATCTGTTTATGTGTTGTTTGATTTCAGATGCAATTATTAATTTATCCAAAAATTACACGGACCCAGCTGTATATTTGATCTATGCATTTGCCAGCACCAGTACCGCAAGCCTCCCTCTTATGCGCAAGTGAAGTGAGTTCGGAAAAACTGAAAGTATGCATCTTAGAAATAGTTTTCACATACAAACTAAATGTCCGTACTCAGACTCAAATAGCCTACGAAAAAATAGCATGGTCGCTGTGGTAGAACGTTTATTTTGATTGGCGATGTTAAGCCTGATTTTAGAAGTGTCCATGTAAACAGGATTATTAGGGAAATCGTTCTTCTTACAAAGGATGTACACGTTTTAAACGAACTATTATATCATTCTGACTATCCACAATAATTGTATTATTGTGTGCATATAACCGTACTCAATGGAGAGGAGTATTTGTCCATTGACTATAAATAGGGTATTTATCACAGACGTTATCATGTGTTGTGGTTGTGTGTATTGCCCCCCAGACACTAGGTAGAGCGACCAGGGGGCGGGCTATATTATAGTGCAGTCCAAAACAGGTACAGGTTGGCAGTGCGTAATTGCCGTATGACTGTTGACAGTCAACCGTGTTAGTCCCTTTCTTTCCTGGATATGCCTGGACAGCGTTCTCTAAAAGTCTGAGCAAAAAGGTATCTGAATTGGGACTGATGGCTGCGGGCATCGATCACGGACGGGTCGGGGAGAGGTTGCAAGCGGCACTGGCCGGACTGCAGGAATTGCATTTCCTCAAGGAGAAACAGTGTGACATGGTAAACTGGGCACTGCGTATGGACCGGACGGACCGTCAGGGGACTGAGGAACAGTACTTGGAGGCGACCCTGTCAGCCCTCAAGCAAGAACTGGTAGGGTCCGCTTTTTCCATATGAAATATTAGTTGTTTTTTTCCCAATAAGAAATAGCCTATTTGGTTGATGCATAGGCTAAGCCTAAAACTTCAATTCCCGTAGAATATATAATTTAGTTAGAAAAACATGAACTTTGATTAGTTAGAATTATTATGCACGATTTAATTGGCAGTGGACAGAATATTTTATATGGTTCCAGATAGTCGATGTTTAAGCATATAATTTGCACCGAAAATGCTATAATTACGCAGGTATTACGCAGATATAGTCGGTTGATATCGTGATCTATCTTGCCTGTTCTATCATTGTCAGTTGGCACAGTTTTTTTCATGATTACAGTTGGGGAGTGGGAGTCATAACTCAAGGTTCATTTCAGGATCACGGGACACTGGGAATAGGGGAGTTCAGTGTCTCTGATCATTAACCATTTTAATGGCAGTGGAAACATACAATTGGCCCTTGGCTGTAGATTCACCCCATATAACTCAGAGATAGTTTGACCCTATTGTATTTCTGTTGAATCATTTTGTGAAGAGTCATTTGTTAGGAATCAATCTAATGATATGCACCTTTATCAAAGAAATTACTAAACTGAAGCTACAGAATTTCAGGATCAGCTTAAAGCCATGTTACTGTATTAACCATTTTTTAAACCATTTGTGGTCAGCATAACAGATAGTGTATATTTGAAAATCTGTGATTGTTCCTTCCTGCAATATGTTTCCAATTCCAATCAATAACACTGTATATGGTAGTAATATGTATAACAGGCAGTGAGCATTGATGAAGCCCCCAAATAGCACCACATCATACAAAAGGAAAATACAGCCCCTCTTCCCCCTCACAAGCTTCTCAAAGGGCTAGTGAAGAAGGTTGCCTGTAACACTTTTTTGGAATGGTATTACCCCTAGCTGCTAGTCCTAGCTGCTTAAGCAAACATGGTCTGTCCCCCCCACTAAAGTTTACACAATGGCCAGTGCCTCTCTGCAGGGGACAAATTAGTTATCCACCGATTGCATCCCTAAGCTCCCCCTTGTCCTCCACTGGTTAATCATCAGCCACGCTCTGTCATTGTTTTTTGTTTTCTAAGTGTATAACCTCTGGCGAGTGCACTGAGAGCTTCTTACTTAGTACGCTACAGAAACAGGAGATAGGCTCCTGTCTCGGACAAGGCTACTTACTAGTGTGTTAATGTGTCTTGTGCTATAACCTCTGATTCCTGTATGTATGCTGACTGTATCTGGTGTGTGCTGCAGTCTCATCTGCGCAGGCAGGATGTGGGGCAGAAGACACACCTGCAGCAACTGGACCAGCAGATAAGTGATCTAAAGCTGGATGTGTGCAAGGCCTCCACTGAGCAAATGGAGAGCAACAGTAGACCCAGCTCAGGTCAGTAGTACACACACACACACACACACACACACACACACACACACACACACACACCCTTATACTTGTTCACAATCTTATCATACAAATGGACTTGCACTCTGCCGGCCTAAGAGCACATTGACATCAGGACATACCGCCCCGTAGCACTCACTTCTGTCATCATGAAGTGCATTGAGAGGCTAGTTAAGGATCATATCACCACTAGCTTACCTGACACCCTAGACCCACTTCAATTTGCTTACCGCCCCAATAGATCCACAGATGATGCAATCGCCATCACACTGCACAATGCCCTATCCCATCTGGAGAAGAGGAATACCTACGTAAGAATGCTGTTCATTGACTATAGCTCAGCATTCAACACCATAGCACCCTCCAAGCTCATCATTAAGCTTGGGGCCCTGGGTCTGAACCCCGCCCTGTGCAACTGGGTCCTGGACTTCCTGACGGGCTGCCCCCAGGTGGTGAAGGTAGGAAACAACACCTCCACTTCGCTGATCCTCAACACACAAGGGTGCGTGCTCAGCCCCCTCCTGTACTCCCTGTTCACCCATGACTGCGTGGCCATGCACACCTCCAACTCAATCATCAACTTTGCAGACGACACAACAGTAGTAGGCCTAATTACCAACAATGACGAGACAGCCTACAGGGAGGAGGTGAGGACCCTGGGAGTGTGGTGCCAGGAAAATAACCTCTCACTCAATGTCAACAAAACAAAGGAGCTGATCGTGGACTTCAGGAAACAGCAGAGGGAGCACGCCCTGCAGTAGAGAAGGTGGAAAGCTTCAATTTCCTCGGCGTACACATCACGGACAATCTGAAATGGTCCACCCACACATACAGTGTGGTGAAGAAGGCGCAACAGCGCCTCTTCAACCTCAGAGGCTGAAGAAATTTGGCTTGGCACCTAAAACCCTCACAAACCTTTACAAATGCACAATTGAGAGCATCCTGTCGGGCTGTATCATCGCCTGGTACGGCAACTGCACCTCCCGCAACCGCATTGCTCTTCAGAGGGTGGTGCGGTCTGCCCAACGCATTCCGGGGGCAAACTACCTGCCCTCAAGGACGCCTACAGCACCCGATGTCACAGGAAGGCCAAAAAGATCATCAAGGACAACAAACACCCGAGCCACTGCCTGTTCACCCCGCTATCATCCAGTAGGCGAGGTCAGTACAGGTGCATTAAAGCTGGGACCGAGAGACTGAAAAACAGCTTCTATCTTTCAGGCCATAAGACTGTTAAATAGCCATCAATAGGCGGCTTCTACCCAGTCACGTAACCCTGCACCATAGAGGCTTCTGCCCTATATACATAGACTTGGAATCACTGGCCACTTTAATAATGGAACACTAGTCACTTTAATAATGTTTACATATGTATATACTGTATTGTATTCTATTCTACTGTATTTTAGTCTATGCCACCGACATTGCCCATCCTAATATTTTATATTTCTTAATTCCATTCTTTTACTTTTATATTTGTGTGTATTGTGTTTATTGTTGTGGATTGTTAGATATTACTGCACTGTTGGAGCTAGAAACACAAGTACTTCGTTACACCCGCAATAACATCTGCTAATGTGCCTAATACAAATTGATTTGATTTGATTTGATATTTCCACACATTTCTTGTTCTGGGCTGTGAGGGGAGTTGGCCGAAATACTACATTCTCTCCTCTCCTCCTCCAGGTTTCTATGACCTCAGCGATTGCGGCTCCTGCTCTCTGTCCAACTCCTGCACCTCGGTATACAGCGAGTGCCTCTCCTCCTCCTCCCAAAACAGCCTTCTCCCTCCCCATGGCCCCTCTGGACCTCACACCCTCAGTACAGCAGCCCAGAAGAATGTGGCATCCCGCCGGCGCTCCGTTGATGAGACCAGCACCCACCCTAACCCACCACGGGGGACAGGGCTGCACCTTGGCAGCAGTAGGATACGCACTGGCACCGCGGGCACCGACTGGGCTAGACAGAGACCCATGTCCACAGGTGAGCACCACCCTCAATACTGCACCTCAGGTAGACTTAGTCTAAACTAACGGTTATTGTGAGCTCATGATGTGTCTTCATCATGCTGTGATAGATTTTATGAACTCTATATTTGACTAGGGTCTAATTGGAAAATAGTTCTAAAGATCAATTGGATGCATTTCTGTTCCCTCAGGTGACCTGGACAGGATGTTGACTCCAGGACTGGGCAGCTACAAGTCTGTGGATGTGAAGAAATCCTCCCTGTGCTCCAACCTCTGGAGCTCAACCACCGTTGACCCCAAGTACCAGAGTAACCTGGTGTCCCTTAATGGGGCAGAGGTCTACCTCTACCCAAGCCCACTCCATGCCATAGCCCTCCAGAGCCCCATCTTCTCTCTGGGTTGGGAGCCGGCTGTCACGGAAGCCCCAGATGGCCAGGGGCCTCCGGCAGATGCTTTCCCCAGTGTGGAGACTCTTCAGAGGGGACGCAAGGAGAGGATGGAGCCCAAGCCCCTAGGATACATCAACAAGCTCCGCAAGGGGAGTATGAGCAAGATAAACGTCCGGACAGAGTTTGGCAGAGACAACATGCAGATGCCTCAGAATGATCGCCCAAGTTATCCCCACGAGGCGGATGAAGTTGGAACAGTGAGTCCAGATGTCCCTCAGGTTCAGGTGCCTCCACAGCAGCAGGCCATGCTGTCACAGTCAGACATCAGACCAATGACCAGACAGAGGCAATCTGCCAGTCGGGAGCAGGTGAACTATGTGAACCTCACCCGGCAGGCACTGAGAACCCCATTTCTGGAGACTTCATACCGCTACTCCTACCCTGCAGCACTGAGGGGGTACAGATCTAGTGAGCTCCACACCACCACCTCCACCATAAACATATTCAGGGTGTCATCCGATGGGGTGAGTATGCGAGGCCATCCTGACCTGGGCCATGTGGAGGTCCCAGGAGGGGGAGGGGCGTCTGAACGTAAGCCGTCTGAAAGGAGGCTGGTGCCAAGTATGGGCGTGGCCCACAGCTCCAGCACAGAGGAAAGCCAAGGCTCTGATGAAGGGAGTCTGTGCCACCACTTGGCGCAGTCTGGCTTTGTCCATGCTCAGTTTGTCCCTGCAGGGTCACAGTGGGTCAAGGTGAGGCAGGCGGACCGCAAGAGCAAGGCTGTAAGGCTGAGGAGGAGAAGCTGTGAGAAGCCCAGCCGGGCCATGAGGCTCCAGCTGCAGGGACACTCATCCAACGAGAGGACTAGGGAGACCAGTGTTGGAGCTAGGGGGGAGAGGGAGCTCAGAGTGCCAGAGAGAGGAAGGATGTCCCAGTCCCAGAGACCAGCCAGCTGCCTGATGAAGGAGTGTGGTCACTCAGGCTCTGAGTCCAGCCTCTGTGGCCCTGCCCTCTCATATGCCCAGCCACTGGCCATCCCTGCCACTAAGCCCACCAAAGCCCGTAGACCCCACTACCCTGACCTAGACCAGCCACCCATCGATCAGAGGAAGAGGAGGCAGGGCACTCCCAAGTGGCCGTCAGATATGGAGATGTCCCAAGCCATGTGGGTTCAGGATCAGATGTCACATAGAGGGCTCCAGACTGGAGGGCCAGTGAGCAAGTCAGCCATTGGCTGGGGTGAGGGTGGGCCTCCTCGGGCTCTTCAACCCCTCGCCTTCTCATCCTCCTACTTCAGCCACCTCAATGCCAGATACCCTCCAGCCCCCTACCCCCTGTCCACACACTACCTGTCCCTGTGCGAGTCGGAGTACTCGGCCGACTGCACCTCTCTCTTCCACTCCAACATCACAGAGAGCAGCGAGGGGGACAGCGAGTCCAGCCAGAGTGAATCCCAGTCCCACTCGGACTCTGACAGAAGCCTGTCCCTGGACAAGGGGAGCAGGAAGGAAGGGGGTTTGGTGTGGGCCGAAGCCGCTCTGGGACCCCTTGCCGCTGGACGGCCCCTCCAGCAGCTCCCCCACCCGGAGCCACCGGCGCGCCGCATCAAAGCCTCCCGAGTCCTGAAGAAGAAGATCCGCAGGTTCCAGCCCGCCTCCATGAAGGTCATGACCTTGGTGTAATGGAGTGTCTGTGGAGCTTTAAGTGGAGACGGTTTCTGGATGATGTCACCTATTCAGGAGTCAACACATCACATGACGAGTATCACCCAAAAACCTTTGTGTCATGAATGTCAGTGAAAAAGATACACTGCAAAGCAAATCTGAAGAATTAGCTAATTACATTTGAGTCATTTAGCAGACATTCTTATCCAGAGTGACTTACAGTTAGTGCATTCATCTTAAGATAGCTAGGTGAGACAACCACATATCACAGTCGTAGTAAGTAAATTTTTCCTCAATAAAGAAGTTATCAGCAAAGTTAGTGCCAGTAGGAAAAGACAAGTGTCATTGTTTTATATTGGGGGAGGGGGGAGATGGGGTAAGACTGACTGAGAAGTATTATTTAAGATACTATTTGACATTTTCGGAAGATGGGCAAAACATGTCTACATTTACTATTGTTAACCAAACTCAAGTGGACAAAATTGATTTTTGCACTGTGCAAGTGTTTACTGCATTAGGAAAAAAAAGATTGAAATGGCATTTAACAATAGAAACAAAAAATGTATGTGATTAAGCAGTGTACACTCCAAATCTTCTATATTATTACTGTTATTGAAAACTGTGTCAAAACCCATATTTATTCAAATGTATTTTTTCACTGCCAAGAAGTTTCCTTTCATTTGAAAGTTTGTTTCTTAAGTCCTTTGTTGTTGTTGTAATGAATTCTGTTCACAGTCATTTACTTCATCATATGTTAAATAACTTGCAGAAAATACACTTTATGACACTGTCATGAAGCATTATGAACATCCTGTGTCACTTTACTTGGACTAACAAAAAGCACTTTATGACACTGTCAATAAGCATTATGACCATCATAATTACATAAGCCAGATAGGCCTATCACGTACATAACCTTATGTCAGTCATCACTCAAAAATAAGGTGTCTTGTCCTGCTCCTGAAATCTACTCCTGCATTCATACCAGTCATCAGCAACAGAGCATTGGGGTAGGTGCATGTCAATTTGTGCACAATTACAATGACAATTTAAAATGGTTAATTTCAGAAAATTTTATATAACATAAACATACTGTTGACAAGTCGGCTATGGTGTAATGGAATGTTTTTCCTTGTGTGGTAGGTTTTGTGGGTTTTGACACTCTTATGTAGGTGTCATAACCACCCATAAAATAACTACCGTGGTAGGTTTTGTGGGTTTTGACACACTTTTGTAGGTGTCATAACCAGCCATAAAATAATGCTATATATGTGTCATGACAGTGTTATGACCATATTATGACAGGTTATGACAAGTTTTGTCAGCTGTTATGACACATTATGACATGGTGATGACCGTGTCATAATGTGCTATGATGCTGGGTGTCAAGTAAAGTGTTACCTAGTTTGGTAACTGAGGTCATCATCAATAGTTTATCTCACAATCAACCCAGGCAATCATGTGCGGAAATAGAATGATGCTTATCAGAACACTGACATTTCTCTGGACGGATACACTAAGTATACAAAATATTAGGAAAACCTTCCTAAAATGAACTGTAGAAAGTGTCGAAAGTGTTCACAGGGATGCTGGCCCATGTTGACTCCAATGATTCCCACAGTTGTGTCAAGTTGGCTGGATGTCCTTTCGGTGGTGGACCATTCTTGATACACACAGGAAATAGTTGAGCATGAAAAACCCAGCAGCGTTGCAGTTCTTGACACACTCAAACCGGTGCGCAGGGAACCTACTACCATACCCCATTCAAAGGCATTTAAATATTTTCTTGCCCATTCACCCTCTGAATGGCACACATACACAATCCACGTCTCAATTGTCTCAAGGCTTAAAAATCCTTCTTTAACCTGTCTCCTCCCCTTCATCTACACTGATTGAAGTGGATTTAACAAGTGACATCAATAAGGGATCATAGCTTTCACCTTGATTCACCTGGTCAGTCTCACCTGGTCAGTCTATGTCATGGAAAGAGCAGGTGTTCCTAAGGTTTTGTACACTCAGTGTATGTGTTAGGCCTACACAAACACGCATCGTGAACTATCTCACACACATGCTTTCTCACAAACGCTGACATATAATTTAATTTTACGCACACACAAATACACACACACAGCATCAACAAAAAACAGCTGTGTAGCTCAGGTTTCTCCTGGGAGGGAGGGAGACTGGAGGATGAATGACGGAGAGACACATGGGATTAAGATGGCCTGAAAGACAGACGATAAGAGGGTTCTCATTTCAACACTGTCATGGGAGATAAGACAACAGGGCAGCTGCATGCAGAGAATCCCTCAATCTCATTTAGAAAATCTGCCCTTGTATCCTTTCATTATATATCCTTTACTTTGTAAGAGGTTTGAGGACAAGGTCATTGTAAGTAAGTAGTGAAGCCACAGGCCTTACACAAATAAGCCCACTTCCCGCTGTTCATATGTAATAACATCAGTATCTTCTGTCAGGCAGAATCAACCATGACCTAACAGTTTTCATATCCCATCTAAGAGGCTTAAGCGACTGACAAATATTTTAGGCATTTCATCAACTTTTTGCAAGTTTTACACCTCAGAGGTCTTATCGCCACGTATGCAAACATTCTCAATGATTCACCCTGACAACCAAAAGCACTTCAATTAATTCATCAATGAAAGTGTTTCTCTATCGTAAAGCTTTCTTGGAGAATAGACCCAGCACATGCAATTTTTTGCTATGTCTTTATTTTCCTGAACGTGTTGCAGAGTTGAAATCCAAACGGTCTATGTTAACATAATTAACATCAAAGATGACATCTTAGTCCCGCAGGTTGACCAGTGATAACAACTGCTCAGTTTAAGAGGTTGCAGTCAGCCTGACCTGTCTGGATCCATGTGACCTTTGACCCCTCCATAAAATGTGAAGGGAGGGAGAGGAGGGGTCATCAATGGGATTAGTGCCATGCTCAGAGGGAGGGAGGGCGGGAGCAGGGTTCGGGCTACGGCACTGTTCTTTGATTTTGACAAGGGGATCCAGAGCTACAGAGCACTGTATCATCTGCATATAAATGGATGAGAGAGCTTCCTACTGCCTGAGCTATGTTGTTGATGTAAATTGAGAAGAGCGTGGGGCCTATGACTGAGCATTGGGGTACTCCCTTGGTGACAGGCAGCGGCTGAGACAGCAGATGTTCTGACTTTATACACTGCACTCTTTGAGAGAGGTAGTTAGCAAACCAGGCCAAAGACCCCTCAGAGACACCAATACTCCTTAGCTGGCCCACAAGAATGAAATGGTCTACTGTATCAAAAGCTTTGACCAAGTCAATAAAAATAGCAGCACACCATTGCTTAGAATCAAGGTCAATGGTGACATCATTTAGGACCTTTAAGGTTGCAGTGACACATCCATAACCTGAGCGGAAACCAGATTGCATACCAGAGAGAATATAAAAGACATCAAGAAAGCCAGTCAGTTGATTATTGACAAGTTTTTCCAAAATAGAAATTGGCTTATAACAGTTAGGATCAGCTTGATCTCCCCTTTTAAATAAAGGACGCACCGTGGCTGCCTTCCAAGCAATGGGAACTTCCCCAGAGAGGAGAGACAGGTTAAAAGGTCAGAGATAGGCTTAGCGATGATAAGGACCGCAACCTTTTGTTTTTTTGGGGTCAAGTTTAAGGAGCTTCTTTAGCACCTCAGACTCATTGACCGCCTGCAGGGAGAAACTTTCTAGCAGGGCAGGGGAAAAAGCAGGAGGAGCATTGGGTCTCGTCGCATTAGAAGGGCTGGGAGATTAGGAAATGTTGGATGGGCAAGGAGGCATGGCTGAGTCAAATAGGAATCCTGACTTAATGATGTGGTGATTAAAGAGCTCAGCCATGCGCTCCATGTCAGTAACAACCACATCATCAACTTTCAGGGACATGGGCATCTGTGAGGAGGAGGGTTTATTCTCCAGGTCTTTCACCATTTTCCAGAACTTCTTGGGGTTAGACCAACAGAGAGAGAACTGCTCCTTAAAGTAACTAACTTTGGCCTTGACTGCACTTATTTCTCATTTGCCTGAATGAGAGCCAGTCAACCTGAGTATGCGTGTGCTGAGCCTTTCGCCAAATGGAATTCTTGACGTGGAGCAACTCTGCCAGATCACGGTCGAACCAGGGGCTGAACCTGTTTTTAATTCTCATTCTTTTTTTATGGGGCCGTGTTTGTTAACAATACCATTGGAAATATCAAAAAGGAAGGTCCAAGCGTCTTCGACAGAGGGGATCAAGCTGATTCTATACAAATTTACAGAGGCCAGGTCATGAAGGAAAGCTTGCTCATCAAAGTTTTTTAGCAAGCATCTATGACAAATCAAGACGGGTCGTTTAACTGAGCAGCCATTGCCAATACAGGCTGTAAAACAGTGATCACTAATGTCATTACAGAAAACACCAGACTGATACCTATCAGGATTATTTGTGAGGATAACATCAAGGAGAGTAGCCTTTTCTGGGTGTTTGGAGTAATACCTTGTGGAATTGGTAATAATCTGAGAATGATTTAGGGAGTCCCATTGCTTTAGAACTTGGTCAGGTGGTTTAAGCATGTCCTAGTTTAGGTCACCTAGCAGGACAAATTCAGACTTAGTGTAAGGGGCCAGGAGAGAGCTTAGGGCAGGTAGGGTACAGGCCAGTGCTGATGGTGGACGATAACACCCAGCAACAGTCAACAAAGAGCTATTTGAAAGCTAATACAATTGTTTGGGGACAGACTTGGTAGAGACAACAGAGCACTGAAGGTGTTCCTTGGTAAAGATTGCGACTCCACCACCTTTGGAAGATCTGTCTTGCCGAAAAAGGTTATAACCAGAAAGGTTAACATCAGTGTTCAAAACACTCGTTCTTAACCACGTCTCAGTAATGACCAACACATCTGGATTGGAGCTGTGAACCCACACTTTCAATTGATCAATTTTAGCTTCTAGTGTTAACTTGCAGAAAACCCAGGCTTTTAAGAGAGCAGAAATCAGTGAAGCAGAAATC